GCTCGAACTGCTTTCCAGTATTGAAAAGATAATTTCTTTGAAGAAAACCTTAAAAAAATAGCCGAAAATGGAGATTCAGTACAATGACTGCTGCTATTCGTCGACAACAAAAACAACTCATAATCAGTAAGGCACCTCACGGTGATCTAGAAATAACAAACACCGGGAATACCTTGGTATTCCACGCAACAAAATCAGTGAGAAAATAACATTCCTAAGCTTCAAGATAGGCCGGAAGCGGTAACGACCTACTGATATGAGTCAGCACCAAATCACCGTCGAAACGAAGAAAAAAATTATGAACTATGAAAACTATGAAAACTATGAAAAAATATGAACTATGAAAAACTATGAACTATGAAAATAACTATGAAATTTGAAAAATATGAATATGAAAAATATGAAAAATATGAAAATATGAAATATGAAAAATAAAAATGAAAAATATGAAAAATATGAAAATATGAAAATGAAAAATAAAAATATGAAAAAAAAACTATGAAAAAAAATAAACCAACTTTACCTCAATTTGCACTTTTAAGTGCATTTTGAATTTGTTGACAAGTTGCACAAATATTGCTAGTGATTTCTCGAAAACGGAAACAATTGGTGAGACGCCATTGCGCGAAAGTGAGACGCATAATAAGTGTCGTAGTGCGAGGATGAACGGCTGCGAGGAATGGATTAGTGATGAGGAATTCTGCACAATCAGTAGCAACATTTCCAAGGAAAGCTCTTTCGAACGCAATTCATGGCTACTAAAATTACGCCTTTTTTTTGCAAAATTTTCAAACCTTAAACGATATAGCTGCATACCATGTGTGGGAAAATCCCAGTAAGGTCACTAACATACAATACTTCCGTTAAAAGTAATGAAAGTAATGAATTAAAGAAATAATGAATTAAAGTTAAAGAAAATGTGATGAAATAGAGGAAAAATTAAAGTCAAAGTTGAGGAAAACATGAGTCAAAGTTGTTTTTCATGAGAAAAACAATCCCGCTTGTCAGGGACTGGAAATTCGCTTACGAAGTTTCTGGACGATGTATAGTAGGTGATCAGCCAGCTGCAGCACATCTTCCGAGAATTCGTATGGCAGATAACGCTGCAGCAGTAGGGGCATATGCTTGAAAAAACAGCTAGGCTGATTATGCAGCGAAAAATAAAGCTTACTGCTGAATTATACCCATGCGTTTCCAAACTAGTGCTAGGCAGGCATACAAATAAGATGGAAGAATCCATCTGAACAATTATATAAAGTTATTTGGATGCTCCAAATCCAAAGAAGCGCAAAATGGAGAAGCTGACAAATGCACTAATTGTTTAAAAGAGCAGCACAATGATAAAACAAAAAATATGTTTTAATGTCTCAACAGAATAAAACTGACGTTTATTAAGGAGAGTAAGTGTCAGCTTAAAAGTTCTAACAAGTTATGAAGTTAGAAAGTTTTCTAATTTAAGTTATCTCCATAACTTAAAATTTAAACTTAATTTTTTTTTTAAACTTAATTTTTTAAATTTTTTTTTAAAAGAAACTTGAACTTAACAGAAATTTAAACTTAAAATTTAAACTTGAAACTTAAAAATTTAAACTTAATTTAAACTTAAACCTAAAAATATTAAACTTAAAAAAAAAAACTTAAGAAACTTAAAATAACTTAAAAGTTATGGAAAAAGTTCTAACAAAAAGTGATAAATAAAAGTAAAAATAAAAAAACTAAGTTCATACCTTGGATCAGGACGTTCCGGAAGTGCTTTCGTCGAAAGCCTGCAAAGAGCTCGGAATAAAAGGAATGCGTCTTCTTCCTGTACACTCCGGAAATACAGATGCAACGATGGCACATCGTCGCCGATATGTTCTGAAGAATCGGCCGCAAGTGATACAGGATTCAAGGAACGTGGCGCTGCAGCCAGCACTTCTGCTGCCATCGACTGCAAATTTCAGAGTGATATTAGACTAGTTTTAACTTGTAATAATTTGAGCAGGGTTCACGGCTGTTTAGTTATCTGATAGACTGATTTACTATTTTATTAGTTATCAAGTAAATTAAGCTGGCCGTCAAGTTATTAGTTAGGACACTCTGTTCTGCTAAATAATCACTTCAATAAGATTTCTTCTTTTTGACACATTGCATGTTATTTTTGCTGCAACCGTCACACTGACTAGGTTCAGTTGCAGCACTGAACAGGAATGTATGCGACTTGGACCGAAACATTCCTATTCAGATTTTAACTTATTTATATTCCCTTTTATTCCCTTACTTCTTACATAAACACACACCATCTAAAATTAAAATTACAATTCTGTTGAGTCACCAGTCAGAGCCCAGAACACATTTCTCGATAGCTATAACTGACTATAATTTGTTACAAGCGGCTGTCAAACGTCAAAACCTTCACTGTATTTTACCTCCTAAGCGAGATAGAAACATTTGGCAGTAGTCTGGAAGGTGCGGTTGTAGCCGACTGCAAAAAAAACATAGTTTCTCAAGGCTCGAAAATATACGTAATCTTATCAGTGCACGAACTAGAAAAATGCTGGATGATCTGTCCAGAAACACAGTTCTTTTTTTACGATACACTTTGCCGATGTTTTTAGAAGATTCCATTTGTAGCCTCTAATTAAGAAGCAATGCAAATTAATCCAGTGATATTTCAGTGTATTTTCTATTTCTTTTGATAAAACGCCTAACATCTACGCCCAGTTTGATGAATAAATATGTCAATTTCTGCACCATCACAAAGCAAACTGGCAGGGAAAAATGTGATAATTGTAAAAAGTAAAATTTGACTGCAAAATAAAACATCATACAAAACTTAAAAAATGCGAAAAGGCATACAATGGCGATACTGTCCTGACGGCTAGTCCCACTCGATTGCTCATCGCTTTGCACTGCAACCTGGTCCACCATGTAGTTAACAACGGCCTGTACAATCTGAAAATGCGATTTCCAATTCTCACGATATTTCTCATCATACATACAATGTTTTTAATTTTAGAAAGTTAACATACTGTTCTCACGATCCACTCGACGTTTTTAATTTTCCGGAAAATTCCCCCTCTATACCTTGTCCCTAAATTCTTCTTCATCTCCACTACAAAAGTACTCTGGAAGCAAGCAATATTTCTGCCTTTTTCTTACCTCGGCTATCCGTAGAAAAAACCAGCAAAACGTCTCCTCCTTATCCCATCCCCCTCCCCTTCCGAATGTACGTGAATTGGCCAACCGACAAAGGATCTACGCCAGGTAGTCATTCAACCCACCTGCCCCAGCCCTCTTCCCCATGCCTTGGACGGACCCGCAGCATACCCATACTTGCTTGCAACGTCCAAACTCCCACAATTTACAACAACAAAAGAATTTTTCCTCCCTCACCAAAAAAAAATTTTCGCAAATCGTGTATGGAGCCGGCCCGGCCGAGTTTTAGTAACTGATAAAAATATTGTAATTATGGAAGATTATGGTATTTCCCGATGATTAATGGCAAGGCAATCTAAATTAAAGTAATTCCGTTTACAACCTACCTTCTCGTCACTGTCATCCGTGAGAGAAACTGCTTCTTCTGCTTTCAACATATTCCCAAATACAGCGTTGATCACCTAAAAATTAAAATTTCACCAAATTTAGCCCTGAAATTTCGTGCATCATTTCTGTAACTAGTACAAAGAACGAGGGAAGGAGCAATAGTCCTGCGCAGAAACTTCTGATCTATCCGAAGTAATAATCTATTTCCATGCGGAATTTGGATGTGAATCCATAGCTCAGATCAACTTAAAAAAATCCCCTGAAATTCATATTAATCAGATCGTCAACACAGAAGCTGTGCAAGTAATCAAGAAATTCAGAAATGCAGATACCTGTGTCAAGGAGGCTTTTGCTGTTGATTGATTAATTGGGCTCCGACTGACCAAATATATGTTGAAACATGTCCTTACTGCCAGTAGCAGGGTTGCTTTATGCACTTCACATGTTGGTGCTAGTACCACTGCCAAAATAGCCTAAAAATCACGATACTATTACTTTGGTTAGATGTAATTTATAGCGTATTTCTTCACCCATGCCGCTCACAACTTTTCCAGTTTTTTTCAACCAATGCAGTATCGCCCTGTAGTCAGCTTTCTAGGGGACCCGATGTTCGTTCTATGCCTTCTGGTGGACCGGATGTTCGTTTTGTGCCTGGAAGGAAGGGTGAACAATTCAATGGTTCTTCCGAAAGAAGCAATCGACAAATCCTCCTTCGTTTCTAGATATTCTTACTGTTTTACTGAACATCACCACCTCATCCTGTATTTGCCAATGCTTTTTCACAATTATGTACCTTTTCAACGATAAACTGAAATAGTTCGATCTTTGTTCTCCGAAGCAATGAATTTCACCCCTGTTGTTATTTATTACAGATTAATGTGTGACAAAAATAAGCAAAATATTAATGCGATGATATAAGAAAACTTGAAATTAACCTTCAGGATCTGTAGCTGCACACCTTCATCGGTATTTGGGCCACTGAACGGTGAACATATTGCTTCAACAATCCGGTCGATCAAAAGGCGTTCTGGATTTGACACATCCACTCCATTACCCATCAAATGTCCATAAGCTATCAACTTCTGAAAAGAAAAAGTACACCGTTCACCTCACTTTGAACTGCCCCTTTCAATTAAGCATTAACTAACACACACGCGCACACACACGCACACATACACACACATACACACACACACATACACACACATACACACATACATACACACACATACACGCACACACAATAATTTCCGTTCCATGAACCATTATCGGCTTTCTTCAGTGCAAATGCATGAATTAGATTTCGAACAAAAATTGTGACGTGTCTTAACGAGGCTTCATCAATACAAAGCCTGATGCTTTCCATCTATGTCTAGAAGCCAGAACAGGACCATTTGGTGTCATATTCGTCAATTACCGAAGATTCTGTTAAGTAGCGACTTGCAAAACATCAACTCCCATTCACTTTCTAGCGAATACCAAATTTTTTTTTTTGAAAATTTGCTTTAAAAATGCTTTGGAATGCTTTGCAATAAATGCATCGAATCTTCATTTTCTGAAAAATCTCAAATTTTATTATATATTTATCACGATGGTACTAACTAAAGGTATGCAGCTCGGGACTGATGAGCTTGTCATAGCTCTGAATGGCGTGAGCTGAAGCGTCCCAGTAAAAATGTTAATACAGGGTAAGCAAATTGAAACTCCGGGCAATC